AGTAAACATACATCGCGCATTTACAACCGGTGTCAATAATGACAAGATCGTATATTCATGCCCAGGCCTAATTGCAATGCGTAATTATTGATACATCTGGAGACTACACAACGCAAATGTAAATATTAATTCATGTGAAACAGTATCTGAGATGAATATAACTGAAATAATTTCCATAATTCGATATATATGCGTAGATTTCCTGTTGCCCGGATTTCTCTGTTCTCTAGTCAAGCTAAGCCGTTTTCTTTTTTGCCACATGACCATGAAGACACAGCCAATGAGATACGGCGGTGTGTTATGGAAGCATGGAGCATTTACACTGCTATCAAAGACTATCATTATGTGAAGTTTTTGTTATTACTTAACAGAAATAAACCAATATGAAAGTTACTGTTGAGTTATGTTAAGCTTGGCCCAGATATTTGTAACATCCGGTTTAACATGCGCTCGCGCTTTCTCTTGCCGGAAGTATGGATATTTCTCTTGGATTACTTGGATAGTGATGTTTTTTCAACGTCAATAGAAGAACATTTAATAAGTTATACAGCTCATTGTACCGGATGTTTTATTAGTTATTTTGACAAGAACTTCCATCACCATTGCCTTTCTTTCTAATGAGCCATATCTGGAAACGGTTTCATACTTAAAAATTGCTACAAAAGTGTGCCCCCAGAAAGTTTTTTTTTCTTTCAATCCTATTTACGTAAGTTTTTTTCATACTCGTTTACATCTAGACGCTCATTATCAAGCAGCATTCAAATTCAACTTCAGTTTCTTCCATTTTATCATCTAGCGGAATCTTTGCTTATTAAAATTGTTTGATATAGTTTATCAATGAACTGTGATAGAAGCGCTCGTAGTATCAACTGGGTTATATAAATGTACCCTAACACAATTGATTATCGTTTGGCTGCGCTAGTTGAAATGAGTAAGAAAATTACGACACAAACGTATTTAACATTACACGTGACTTTGCTTTCAGGTGATTACGTAAATGTAATACGATATGTGTGTTGATGTACCGATTACAACGGCCATTGTGCGCTAGCTGACAGCGGAATCAATCCGCTCCTGTCACATTAACATTATTTGTTTTTTACGTTTTTTAAACAACTGTTTTTCTACAGAGGAATGACCATCATTCTATGAATCATGTGGATGGTATAAAAGATTAATATATTTCAAATGAAATAGACACAGCAGCTGTATAAAACGAATAACAAGCGAATTAATCTGTATTGTAAACTGCTGTTGAGAAAATAAGAAATGGATAGTTTGAAGACGAATCGGTTTGGTTTCACAATTTAAAGAACTAAAGATGCTTGGTTGTTCAGTGCACACAATTAGTTGAGAAGATGTATCATGCACATATAGTAGGTCACTTCGGCATACATTTTGACCTTTAACCTACACTAAAGAAATATTTTTCTCGTACCCAGGACAGGTAAATCCACGCTTCTACCGGTGTGAGATTTTCTTTTCTACCCAACCGGACAGAAAGATCGAGAATCCATGTCAGTGTCTTAAAATAGAAGCTTTATTTTGGCGAGTGTGAAGAAAGAGAAAGGTGGCAAAGCCTCAGGTTAGACAATGAAGAATCTCCTCCTCGGGTAGAGATTTCTCTGTCCTACCCTCCAACTACCATCCTCACTCAAGGGTTGAGACGAGGGGATTCCTCTGTGAGGACAATGATATGACGTCACAGTAACAATTCACTGACGTCAGGTCAAGAATTAAATCACGTCAGCGATGTGAAGTACCGGATTAATAAAAAAATGAGACGAATACATGTAACTCACAAAGTCATCTGAGAGTGAGGAAAATAACCATTCAGCTCCTTGTTTGCGAGATAGTTTGATCTCTGTAGTTGGGAAAAGAGTTTTAGTTGCAAACACTCGCCAACCGTCTTGTTTGTTAATTTGATAATCTTTCTCCACAGGTTGAGATCCACCTGCCTTACCTCCATAGGGCTGAAAGATTTGATTCATTAATGCTCCACTTCATTCCATACTAGTCACTGGAACATCATACTTGTGGCCTGAACTTATCTGTGTGATTTGTTTCCAAATTCAGTAATACATATGCTGAAGTTGTAAAATCGTTAGCTTTGTAAATATATATTACTTGAACGAATATTAAAAGGGATGGTCTTGCATAACTAAAAGTAGATGTAGTGTTACAGAAACTAAAATGAGAAAATGACCTAAGTCAACTTTGTTTTTACAGTATATGTGGGCTAATAAATATGTGCATGTGAGCGATAATCCATTAAAATGTTATCGGAAGCGGTTCTATCATTACTAAAGTAATCACAATTACTTTTTTTTTTTTTTTTAATTTCGGGGAATTACGTCTGGTTTTGGTCACTAATCCCCATCAACGTCTCAATTAACATAATAATAACTATTCACTGTTCGAATCAAATAAATTGCATACGTCACTGAAAGTATCATTGTACAAAATAACTACACAATTTGATAAGTCTACTGGGAGTTACCGAACCTTGCCGACAGACGTCAGTCAGTAGATATCGGCGCGTTCGCTTCAGTGGAATGCAGTTAACAACAAGGATTCAAATATCCTTATGTCATGAATTAACTTGATGTAAACACTTTCAGCTTGCCTGATAACGTGTTTATGTACCATAATATGTGTCTGGTTCCAACCAAGCCTATAGATTGTGTCAATATCGGCAAACCCGGTATTTATTTCTTGTAATCACAGATTATCGACTCTTTGACCGTCCCTCTGGGACCACACACTGGAGAGGCATAACTCACTCAGCGACGGTCATTCCGCATTAACTCAATAATACTGACCACTATTGTTTGAATAACAAGATCGGTACAAAATTTTCTGGATAGATCGGGAAAATTTGATTAATGCTCGGCCGCTTTCTCTGTCTGTCTCTTTCTCCCCTGATTTCACTATGATATGTTTTATCAACTTTATTATAAGTTGATGTGTATAGTCTATCTTTCATGCCATCACGTGACCTCTATTGTAAATACATAAGTTATCTGGATAAGTCATTTATAAGATGGCAAAACTACTGACTGATCCTAATGTCATATTTTGTCAATGAAATATGTTATAACTCAACAAGAGCGTCTGTAGTCGAAATCAGATCAATTGGCATATAAAAAATATTGCTGAAAACTAAACAGTAACAAAATTCCGTATTTCCTGCAGCGTTTAGAATTAATTCGGTCGTGGTATATTGATCATGCATTAACATATACATTATATGTATGTGTAAATTCATAATTTGGAATCTTAAGTTTTGAGGAAGTAACGAGAATATTATACGAAAAGGTTCTGGTTGTTGGAATGCTGGGTCGTAGTTCTTTCCTAATTTTGTTTCTGTACTGACATTATCAGTTAACTTCTAAGCCGACAAACCACATACGAGATTCCAGGGTGGTCGGCAGGTGTAGTGGAAACCCCTCGCCTTACACATAGGCGTCCGGGGTTCGATTCCTGAGCGGACGTGAAAGGTGTGGGGTGATCTGCTCGGTCACGCGGGTTTTCCCTCTGTACTCCGGTTTCTCCCACAGTATAGAAACCTCGCGCGCTTCCACCCGGGCAAACAAGAATGATTAATATCAGTTTGAATTACTTATTTAGCAATTGTTGTAAACAAAATAACGTTTAAATTGCAAAAGTTTCTTGTCATTTGCTACAAGCCATTCGCTATTTGCAAATTGTTATTTGCTTTTTGTCTTTGTAAGTAGTTAGTTTACAATTGTAATTTGCTAGTTGCCATTTGCCTATTGCCAATCGTTTTCTTTTTTTTCAAACCTATATCGAACACACATTATTTCTTTGAATACAAATGTATTTGATAAGTGTGATGCTTATTGACAATTTTTGTGAGACGTTTAACTAATACTAGCTGATTTCATTTGACTATTTATCATTTGCTTCTTGTCATTTGTTACTTGCTAACAGTCTGTGCCATTTTGCAGTTTGCTTTTCTTCATTGATTACACTTGCTATCATTTTTGGCAGTTGATATAGTTCCTTATTAAAAAAAATGAAAATACCAATATTGCTACATATTCATAATCCAAACCCAAATCCCATAAAACTAGGGTAAAATATTAACAAAAGAAGTATTTACACACAGACTACTGAAAAAATACAAGGAGAATTACTTCTTTTCACAACATGGATTACAAAAACACTAGAATGACATAATATAAATCATCGCAACATGTAAGGGACTGGACAGGGTCAGCGAGTTCTGAACAAACGCCAAATAGCAATTGACTTGAAATGGCAAATAGCAAATAACAAATATCGCATTGGCATGTTGTAAGTACTTGGGAGGGTTGGGTATACATGTGGTATTTCGAGGACGGACGTTCTTAAATACATAAGGAACATGTCAAGAACAAGTTATGTTCTTTTATATTTGTGATAGATATTTCCTATTTGATTATATTAGTTAAATGTTTGTAACATGCAAAAACACCTAGCTTCTAATTTGCTTAATAACAACTTCCGCAAACTTGCAAGACCTCCGTAATGAAGAAAAAACAACATGTACATGCTGATCCGGGAAGCTACATGATCCCCCGTCACTTCTCAATCAAGATGATTATAATATATTAAAAGCAGACCACTTCTTGGCTTACCAAAGTTATCCGGAATTACTCCCATGTTACTAACGAAGTTGGGTGTTCATCCTACCGGTACTTAGATGTGGCTGGGGTCTGACCACTCAGCTACATACAAACTGATTATCTACATAATGTATGTACATTAATACGTTTCTCTTCCTTTCTTTTCAAATTATACACATGTGCACTTAAAAGGGAACCTAAAACTAACACGAATAATTTATCCCAGTTATGAATTACTTATTTAGTAAACAATGACATTATCTAGAATAAAGAATTCATATACACTGTTGTCGCTTATGGATAATCATTGGCCATCAGAGTTAGCATATAATAAAGAAAACCAAAGTCCATACGGAACCTACGGTTGTATTTCAATAAGTAGTAAGTGTATAAGCATGTAAACAAAATACTCATAGCAACATAGTTTACCAGACCAGCAGTTCCTGATACCTGGACTAGATTTGTATTGTTACAGAGTTGTCGCCCCTTGTGATTACGTCGGTTCATAAATGATACAATCGTCTCTACATTTTAAAATACGTCACCATTCTTACAGTGTAAACTGTTTACACTGTACACCGAACATCACATCTAAAATCGATAATTTGATATCGATTTATTGAAAAATACTGCAACAATTCGAACGACAATATCAAGCTTGAATCAAGCATATATTTAGTAATCAAAGTTTTATAAACTGGGTCATATTTGGTATCATAGACACAGGGGCATCATAAACAATAACAATGTGTACATAAGTCTTCTTACTCGAAACGGAAAATAGCAGTTTACTGGAAGTTAATCTAGCAATACTTTCCAGCAAAATGAACGATCAAAATACCTATGGGCCACATTGTACTTGATTATCATGTCCCTGTGTGCTAGAGGTGACGACAACCTTTTGGTACAGATACGAGTGGCTACACCTAACGACCGTCGACTGCACTGTCACATCCGTTATAATTGATGACGACACACTTACAGACGTGACAGCAATGAATTTTAACAATAGACATTGGTTACACCACTTGGACACATTGTCGTTGGTATCGACAACTGTAATGATTTATTAATTCCACCAGAACTAATTTAATTTCTGAAAATGTTTGCTCGGCCATAGACACCTGTATCTAGAGCACAGGGACGTCTGTATTACACGTCCCTGTGGAGCGTTAACAAAGCCAAACTCCAGTCCACTATGTATCATACAATGTAGTCAATCAATTGCAAAATCCTCAAATCGACTTTTGGGGCTACTCAAAAAACAACAATATTTTATATTTTCACTGTTTGTGCCATTTTAAAAGCCAAGTTTACCAACAAAAACGTTTGACTAAATTTTGAATTACATTACAAATATTTGTCACATCATGTTTCGCCGTGAAATGTCACTCTTTCCTCGCTCAGCTTTCTCAATAGGCCAATCCGACGGAAATACGTCATTCAGTTCAACTATAGAACCCTCAATCGAACTCCCAAATGTCATTTACTCGGCTAACTTTTAAGAAATCTATGTTTAGAAATGACGTACTTCCGTCTTACAGTTTACTTTTTTGTGTGATGCTTAGTGAACTGGTTTTTTTTGCTTTACGTTCCAGATACAGGTGCCTGTGGATTAATCTTTGATAGGATAGAAAAATAGCATCCTGGTCCAATATCAAACATACATCACTAGACAATTGTACAAAAGTTCACATAAAACTGTTCACAATTAAATAATACTGTTATCCATTACCTTTTTACTTTATCGCTTTTTACATTTAATCATGTTTTTAAATTCCTTTCTAAATGTTTTATCGAAAAAAGCATAAATAAATGGATTTGCTACGTGATTGAGGAGATAAAGTTGGAAGAGAAACAGGTATAGGACCCGCTCCCACTGAGAATATTCCGTCCAGTACTGGACCGAGTCCAGATTGACCAACATGTTTGCGATTAAGGCTGGGGTATATGTGATCGTACAAACCAAAGCTATCATCATAAACATGATAGAGAATCGGTGTACCATCATTCTGTTTTTCTTCCATCGAGCACCCACCTGTGACTCTTGTTTAAATCCCTTATTGATTGGAACATTACCTGCTCTAGAATCTTTACCAGAAACACTTTTGATAGAAGCTTTCACTATTTCACCACCACCATCCTCATTGATGGGTTCCAGATCTTTTTTCGTACCGTTCGACTTCACGTCATCATCGCTGAGTGTTTCTGGATTAGTTTTCTTAAAACTGACGGTCTTTGAACCAGGCTGCCCTGGTGGTGAAGGACCCACTTGGTCTGTAATGCCGTTACAAGTGCTTTTTGGTTCCTCCTGTGTTTTTGACGTGTCTGTCGATCCGTGATGATCATTACCCGTCACAGCTGCGTCATCGGTTGAATAACCCTTGTCGATAGACGCTGTTTCGCCTTTCTCATTAACCTTGTCGGAACACTCGACACTTCCGGTTGTCTTTGACGATGATGACTCTTCGGATTCTATAGGAACATTTTTTTCATAACTGATAAGATTATGCTTGTATTTTTTCTGAATAGCTGGTGAATCGTCGACACTGCTACTGTTTTTAATGGATTTATAATTACCTCTTTTTGACGTCACTTCCGGTGAATCAGTGAGCGTAATGTCCTGTATGGACACACACGAATTGTTAGCTTCCGCTTTTACACTGTCCTGAGTACTGCGATGGGTAGAAGCGTTGTACGCATCAACGGTTAAGTCCATATGTCGTTTTACCTGTTTATATATTGTATATCCTGTCATTGAATACAGAACGGCAACACCCAGCATCACACTCCCCGCACACCCAAACATAAAATAAAAGTAGATAAGAATATCTTGCTTCATAGACGGGCTCTCGTCGTCCTTTCGTCCACAACGGTACCCAGTCACATTCAAGCGACTGTCATAAATTTCCGTTTCTCCGTAAAACACAAATATAGGAATATCGATGACAATGGCTACACCAAACGTCACTGCCAAAGCAACCTTATTTATTAATGATGTCATTTGTCTGCCAAAAGGACGACAGACTTTGAGATAACGTTGTACAGCGATGATAAAAAGTAGCATTCCAGATGCTGTTCCCATAGTGCGGACAAAATACCAACATATACGACAGAGAATGTCGCCTTGAAAATTCACCGGAAGTATGTTGCGGGCCAAAGAAAACAAAGTACCAGTGGAGCAGACGACAATGTCCATTCCAGCCAGGACAAGAATGAAGAATTTGTCGTCAAACTTGACCTTGAGTTTGAAGCTGTAGATGTATATAACAGCAATGTTACCGAATACTCCGATAACTGCATAAAGTACTAGAAGTACATCTATGGGTATGAGTTTGTACGCTTCATCTCTGTTCCAAGCTTCCAAGTCTATCTTTGGAACTGAGGAGTCGTTACTGCTCGAATTCATCATTGGCGTTGATTATGTGTCTACTGGTGAATACATGATTTCCTTTAAACAGTTTTTTTTATTAATCCATTTGGTCCTTAATCTACATATATTATACAACAACGTCCACATATCCAAGGAAGATTTACACTGGTATGTAATATACACATGGTCTTACAACATATACGGCTCCGCTAATACTCACGTGGTTTGTTAATACCCAGAGTTGTATTTAGAAACCACTCTGTGTCCTAGGACTCCGCACGTTGTGATAAGTCAAACCATTATTAAGAAGTTCATTCACGAAAAACACTCCTAGCAAATTGTCAAACCATTCCGTCGCGAAACATAAGGCAGTATGTAGTATTGGTAGTGTTTACTCCGTACTTAAATGAATACCGATTGATACGTCAGAGCGCGTGCAGCGCCCACGTATTCTCTTCAGCAGTCGAGGCGTGTATCAAACAATATCACGTGTGTAAGATGGACGCGTGCGACGAATAGTTACTCGACTGATAAGAAGAGTTTCTCGGTAAATTTAACAATGCATTGTGTCATCGTGTGTTGTACATCTGTTATGTGAGTTCATTCTTACATTCCTGACCTACACTCTAAACCACAACAGTGTGGTGAGCACGCGAGAACTTCGACATCCGCATTACTCCTTAACACTATAATGTAATCACTTCTGAAACTTTCTTGTTTAAACCATACATATATATCTACATTCTTGTATATCATACCTTTTCCAGTATCCTCGTCCATCTACACATCCTTACATTGAATATCACTGTCTCCGTAGCGGAACGACACCAACGTGTGTGTTTTAGAAGTCTATCCTCTCACAGTCCGCATATAACTGAAACACATTCGTATACATGTACAAAATTTACCCCAAATAGTTCACAGTGAATTATTAAACACCTGACACACTTAAAATCATGGAAGCGTGCGGTAGAATTGATTGGTGTATCTTCTATGATTAAATGATGGACTATTAACGTTTTAAGCCCTAAATGTTTGTTCCTTATCGTTAGCTGTGATACAACTGTGTCATGCAATGAACCATGATACACAACACATAAACACATGAGAACGCCACACCTATATACATTACCACGTATTTCTTGATGGCAATACATTGTACGTACCACGGAGCGGACGCGGCATTTAAATGTAGTTGTCAAACGTAACATGAACAAATGTATCAGAGATTTATAAATGAAATGTGGATTTTAAAACGGTAACATTTGGTTTTCTTTCATCTTTTATTTAAAAGGGCAGTTACATAATAATTACTTCTGCCTAGTTCGCGAAAATTACATTCGGGATAAGACTTTTGAGGATCACAATAGATTTCGTATAAATAGCCAATGGGCACCTGGCTATTAATCGCCAATGGTCACCTGGTTAAGTGTATAAGAACTATTAACATACCTAGGGGGGAGAGATTGTAACTTTTGCCTTAATTACATATATATTTACCAAGCCGTTACCTGTACAAAAGATAGCATGTCACACAGCCGTGTGATATTGTGATGCCGTAACACGTTGGAAAATGACAGGTGAAAAATGGAACACGATGTAACGGGAGATAACCTGTCCGAGCACTTGTTTTATTTATTGTTACCTATTAATGACAGTTTTCTTTCTTCTGTTAAGATTATGTTTACTATTTTTTATCGGAGTTTGATGTACAATCTAGACTGAAAATTAAATATTTATATTATACTCTCCATGATTAAGACATCGTAGAGAGCAAGGGTATGGAGACCCAGGGGAACGGCGGCCCGAGTTATGTGACATGTAATGTAGGTCTTTGGTTGAGTATTATGGAAATGGCTGTATATATATAACAAGATGTACTGTATATTAATGTTGTTTAGAACAATTAGCAGTAACACGCTAAGTATGTCAAACTAATTCTAGACATACGGTGGATCGGTGGATAGGGCGGATTGGAACCGTTACAGATTATGACTTTACAACCGTTTCCTTATTTTCATTATCATCGATTTATTTTATATAATTACCGTGATTATTTTATTGTCGGATATGATTTCCAGTGAATTACCGAGGAAAAAAGATAAAATCGGTAATCAGTTGTGAACAGACATCAGTTATACTACGCTTCATATAACACGACAGGGTTCTCATATTCCTTAATGACCGCTGCAGATTGGAAGTGAATACAAACTTTATTATTTAATGAGCATCATACTAATCGATTGATTGACCTGTATATGTAATGCTACAATGTACAAATTACACAGTAAGTGTATTCCTGGGGCAATCCTGACAGCTCTATCAAATATGACAGCAATGTCAAGACTGGTCGGTAATAGTAGAGCGATTATTACACGGGGCGATGACCATACATTAACACAGAGGGGAGAGAGAGAGAGAGAGAGAGAGAGAGAGAGAGAGAGAGAGAGAGAGAGAGAGAGAGAGAGAGAGAGAGAGAGGAGAGAGAGAGAGAGAGAGAGAGAGAGAGAGAGAGGGGGGGGGGGGGGGGGGGAGCAGAAATTTTGCTGAACCTACCTCATAACGCAAAAAAGAGAAACAAAAATCTACATCCAAATAAATCCGTCTACAGGATGTACAGGATAACTCTGGGAAGCATCTACACCAAGGGAACCTCTCTACACCAAGGGAACCTGTCTACACCAAGGGGATTGTCTATTCCAAGGGGATTGTCTACACCAAGGGAAATTGTCTACACCAAAGGGAAACTGCCTACACCCAAGGGAAACTATCTACACCCAAGGGAAACTGTATTCACCAAGGGAAACTGTCTACACTAAGGGAACTTGTCTTCACCAAGGGGATTGTCTACACCAAGGAAAACTGTCTACACCAAGGGAACCTGTCTACACCAAGGGAAACTGTTTACACCAAAGGTACTGTCTACACCAAGGGAAACTATCTACACCAAGGGGATTGTCTATTCCAAGGGGATTGTCTACACCAAGGGAAATTGTCTACACCAAGGGAAACTTTCTACACCAAAGGGAAATTGCCTACACCCAAGGGAAACTATCTACACCCAAGGGAAACTGTATTCACCAAAGGAAACTGTCTACACCAAGGGAACTTGTCTTCACCAAGGGGATTGTCTACACCAAGGGAAACTGTCTACACCAAGGGGATTGTCTATTCCAAGGGGATTGTCTACACCAAGGGAAATTGTCTACACCAAGGGAAACTTTCTACACCAAAGGGAAATTGCCTACACCCAAGGGAAACTATCTACACCCAAGGGAAACTGTATTCACCAAAGGAAACTGTCTACACCAAGGGAACTTGTCTTCACCAAGGGGATTGTCTACACCAAGGGAAACTGTCTACACCAAGGGAACCTGTCTACACCAAGGGAAACTGTTTACACCAAAGATACTGTCTAGACCAAAGGAACTTGTCTTCACCAAGGGGATTGTCTACACCAAGGGAAACTATCTACACCAAGGGAACCCGTCTACACCAAGGGGATTGTCTATTCCAAGGGGATTGTCTACACCAAGGGAAATTGTCTACACCAAGGGAAACTTTCTACACCAAAGGGAAACTGCCTACACGCAAGGGAAACTATCTACACCCAAGGGAAACTGTATTCACCAAAGGAAACTGTCTACACCAAGGAGATTGTCTACACCAAGGGGATTGCCTACACCAAGGGAAACTGTCTACACCAAGGAAAATTGTCTACACCAAGGGAAACTCTCTACACCAAGGGAAACATTCTACACCAAAGGGAAACTGCCTACATGCAAGGGAAACTATCTACACCCAAGGGAAACTGTATTCACCAAGGGAAACTCTCTACACCCAAGGGAACTGCCAACACCAAGGGAAATTTTCTACACCAAAGGCAACTGTCTACACCCAAGGAAACTATCTACACCCAAAGGAAACTGTCTACACCAAGGGAAACTTTCTACACCAAAGGCAACTGTCTACACCAAAGAAAACTATCTACATCCAAGGGAAATTGTCTACACCTAGGGAAACTTTCAACACCAAAGGCAACTGTCTACACCCAAGGAAACTATCTACACCCAAAGGAAACTGTCTACATCTAGGGAAACTTTCTACACCAAAGGCAACTGTCTACACCCAAGGAAACTATCTACACCCAAGGGAAACTGTTTATATTCAATAGAAACTGTCTACACCAGCAACTATTGGAACTCACTACAACCAAACAACCAAATCACCACCGGGAAATACTCTACAGGGAAAGTATTGTGTATTGTTACATTGTCTATTAGGGAAACTGTCAGCACAATGGTGACAACCTAAAGCCAAATTTCTGAAATTATAGATGTTATTGGTTTTATCATGAAAATCAAAGGCGGACTGTTTCATTACATTACACAACCAAATGATGATAGAACTAATATACAGTATGTAAATACTAATGTTGATCAGTCAAACGTCTGGCTAACAATACAATGAAATGGTCTATCCTTTCGTTAATGCTGATTCTGTGTTAAGTCTCCTGTGGATCTGTGTAAACAATAAACTGAATGTTTACACATGGTCTATAAAGTTTATAAACTTTACACGCTTGGCATGGCTTTTGAGTATTGTTATATAAACACATCACTAAACACTTGCCTATTTACTTATAATTAGATAATCTTTCTTGAAACATAAACCAAATATTAACAATTATTTTCAGGACGTCAGGTCGATAGCTGTTAGTTGGCTTATATGTTGGCACTTGATAGAACGTCATGTGGCGTCAATATTTCGATTGATTCAAAGGCTAAACTGTGTGTACGAGTAAAAAAATATTGCCTTTGCGTGGATGTTCCATTTGACCTGAATTTGGTTTGTAAGGGTTTGGTTTGTTTCAGTAAAGAAAACGATTTTTTGAATGAGCTAAGTGTGAATCATGAGTTATTGGCCAATATTACAAATCTTATTAAGCTGTCTCACGCTAACCGTTCAAACATTGATCATTCACAGCGTGTTTATTTTAACGACTGTTTCGAATCTGCTATAAAAAGTCACTACCTTAATAAATAGGAATCATATTATGTAATCCCTCTAATCAGGTATGTGATAGGTTCTTGCTGTGTCGGAGATGACATGATGCCTAACCTGTCGGTGACCAGTATCAGAAAGAACCAGTAATACGACCTTAGTTACAGGTATAATGGGTCCTAGGAGACCACCACGCCAATGAAACTCCACAGCAATCACGTGAATGCCACATTGCTCTTAGCCAATCCTGTAAATAAATAGAGATTTTGTGAAAAGTGTTCTAAGCTTGATTGATGTTCTTGTGCTGTTTTGTTTATTCATAAAGCAACATCGGATTGCATGTCCAGGAGCCCGAAGGTGGTCCTGTCCTTGAGACCCTGATACAGACTCAGACATCTTGAATGGATTACCATGCATGGAAGCATTTTAGGGAGTATTGGAAAAAAAGCTTCAAATGTTCTTAGTAGAATTACATAGCCTTTTCAATTAACACCAGTTGCTTTTACTGAAGGGAAAGAACTGTATCTCAAATACCAATCTGTGTGAGTTTGGATCCATGAAATCGAAAGCGAAATACCGCTTTTTATGTGAATCAACTAAATATACAAGTGAAGCGCTTGGTTTGTCGTGGGCGATAGCGTAAGTGTAAGAGAAAATAAGAGCGCCTGGGAAAATAAGGTACTTTGCATTCGTTTTTAATTAACTAATTCAATCTTGATAATTAGTTCATTGGTTAGTTTATCTCGCTATCTGCATTTAAACTTTTTTCGGTCAATTTGATTTTCCTATGCTGCCTTCTAGGTTTTAGCGATATAGGCCCATAGTGTAACTAACAAGAAGGACGAAACAGTTGAATGATCCAGCTTAACTAACTGGTCCTGCTAAATCTAAATTTGTATTGAAAATTGTTATTCAGTTGCGTGTCTTCTGAACATTTTATTCATGGTCGATTGGGAAATCAGACTCCTGTCATCTGCATTTAAGTCAAAGGCCAGTGCGGTACTTTCTTTACTTCCCTATAACGAGTAATTTGCCTTTAACGGTTTGCGTGGTGAAAGAAAGTGGGAAAAACCAATGATCTGCGACCAGGCGACTGTTCCGTGTAGGTCACGACCCTAAGGTGATAAAGACGATCAGTATGTTGAGTCAGCATCGGAAATCGACACGGATAACCACCACATCTTTATGAAAAAAATGGAATCACTCGATTTATACAAATCGTCGAAAGGATAAAAAAGCTTGACCTGGACAATATGCATAACAACTGAAACTATCATGCGAGCAAGCATGTTTATTAACTGTATTTTATATGTTAGGTCTAATCTTGTTTCTAAACCAGTAACTGTGATAGACAAATGTCCTAATACTCGGGATAAAGTTTCCAGTTTATGGAAGTTTGATAGCCCGTTAGTGTGAAGGGAAATTATTTAACAATTGAGCGATAAGTGCCTGTCTGTTAACCTTTCCATATCCTCGGGGACCATGGGAACACTTTTGTTGACTAGCGAAAATGCAATGACAGCAGCATGTTTTATGAATGTCTAAGTTCAGAAAACCAATTATCCTATCGTGTACCAATGAACATAGACCTTAAACGCATGTGATTGTATTACATTCTGTTGGATAAAATCACTCCTTTCTTTCCAGAGCATATTTCTATCACGTTTCTCTTTCCTGATTACATTTGATTTTATACTCTATGTCAATCCCCATTTTAATTTATATTCGAGTAGAAATGTGCTTCTTCATTCGTTCAACACACTATTTAACAAAATTACCGTGGTAGTTTCATCTATGACTGTGACTGTTAAATGGGTTTTAGCCTTAAATTCGGTTTCATGGTTTAAAATTAATGCATAGGTATGCATGTTTATGTGAATATATTATTAAACAAAGGTATTGTTAAAACTAAGTAGATGTTATGCTTTGTAGAAATTTTGGATTCATATACCAAACGGTGTGCTGAAAAACTTGGTCGCGCACGACACCTTAAGAGACACAAAGGAGACTAAACTATTAACAATCTTCAAATATTTTCTCATTTTCTCCACCCATCGCAGCTCCAAAATCTCAAATCTTTGCCTTTTACTGTTTCAACGTTTCTTAGTCGTTTAAAATCACAAATTACATGTATTACTGCAAGTTACTGTATCTGTATGTTAATAGAGATGTTGGTGGTACATAATGTACCATCAATATAGAAATAAGATAGCAACATGTCAACATAATTATTATTCAAACTTAAACTCGATGAAACCAGGGCAAAACAATGAGAAAATGGAATGGAAAATACAAAAATACAAGACGATGTGATCTTATAGGTAAGCGTCTTTTGCTTAATCGATGACATCTGTCATTACAATCTTGGTCAATTTAAGTAGGTATTATCACGTTCTTTAGTGAGAACAGGATAATACCTACTTGAATTACCAGAATGTAATTATGTTTAATTAAGTCCTTACTTATCTGCAGCTATCAACTGAATAAGACTTTTTTTAATGAAGTTATTTGTTTCAATCATATCATAAAATATTGTGTTGTTATAACAAACAATAGCTTAAATTTTACATTAATAACGAGTAAATAATAATATTGGTAACAATATGTTATCTATAGAAAATATATCATTAATTAAATGCATCCCTAAAAGTAACCACACTATCTGGGGAAGGATTTCATCGGTACGAGTGTAGTATTCCATCATCTCAAACTCCCAATCTGTTACTCGACATTATTTACAGTACCACGATGCTCAGTATCCTTACTCATTATGTATGTAGAGTACATAAAGACTAGTATATAACGGATCAAACATAAGACTTTATTATGTTATCCGCGTCAAAATGTTGTTATCCTTATATCCCGAATTATTCGACCTCGTGTATAATATCAATAATGAAGAAAATACTTTGATAGTATTACATCTCATTTACTGTTTAATAATAAATTAGTGTTAACTGGACTTGAAACGAATGTTCATGATAATTCCCCACGTTAGTAATGTTTCGGAATGTGTGTAGAGGTAAAGGGATTGTTTTATATGGCGATTTTAGAAAACTCGTACGAAGAAATGTTATACATGATACTGTATAAGAGATATCATACATTATGCTTCATCATTTAACTCGTCAAGACAGGTAGAAAGATATATATCTATATTTTCACAATTTATCAAAATCCGGGAAGAAGAACCAACAGGTGCGGCGGATATCATATACAGGAAGTTGACACTAAACCGGAAACAATATTGCGAAATTGTACGTAAAATAGACTATGACTCAGGTTAGAAATGGTGATGTTCTGTTATACCATCAATTAACCATTAAACGTATCAAACGTCATTGGGTCATTATTAACGGAAAAAAGGTAATTCTGTACCATTTCAAAGGTGTAATCGGGATTAATATTTCACTTAATATCTTTTGTGTAGAAGTACAATTCAACCTTAATCTTATTTATTCACGCAATCTCCAGGATAGGTCCTGAACCGTAGGAGAAAGGAACAAGGATTTACGTAATACAGACAATGGTTTTCGTATTGTAAATCTAGAACGTCAACTATGAATTATATAACCGAGGAATTGAAATATCCGCTAAGGTAGAGTACAGACACCTGAACATTTTACCCATTCTCACGCATTTCCCTCAAGTTAGAATGAAATGAACAACTCCTACCTGGACCCTTAAAAAAGAAAACATACTGGCAGTGACAGCACGGCGTTATCAACTTTATTTATGGAGAAGATAAATTTACGGTGTCCGGTGCCTGATATTCGAATTACGTATATCTCTAGAAACCGAATAGCATATAAATTTCGGGGTTAGAAGGAATATTTCAATATACAACTTACAATATCTAGTGTTTCGTAATCCCTAGTAAGACAGGTGTAATACAGTTAAGTTTTAAAATATTCACCAACATGTGATAGGATAGCATACATGTAGCGGTGTTATATTTCAGTGAAAACAAAAACTTATGTACATGTATACATGAATGTACTAGGAATACACAA